GAAAAAATTGATTGACATACTCAATGATTATGAATTTGCTGAAAGTTTTCATACTGAAACTACTAGTGAATTTTTTTTAACCCAAGTCTCCAATGACCGGAATGCCAATTTACACACACACACGTACATATTCGCCTTGTCAGTTGATCAAAAGCAAACAAATGAATGAAAAATGATTTTTATTTGAAGATTTTTTTTTTTGACAAAAAAAAACTTACAGTTTACGCGTATGACATTGTTTGATTATCATATGAATATTTTTTTACGCTGTATACCCTTTTAATTTTTTGCAATGGTTAATCATTACATCTTTGTGTTGGATTCCTTTTCAAAGTTTTTTCCGGATTTTTTTTGTTGTTGTTGTTGTTGTTGTTGTTGATATCTTTGAATCATTGTGAATACAAATCTACTATCTTTGCATTCATGGATCACTGGATTAGTAATCCTATATGCTAGATTCAAACTATATATTTGTAGTTGTAGTAACGATTACAATCATTATCGTTATCAACTTCATCATCATTTTAACATCATTTCGAAAGTAGTTTTTACTGACTTTGAACCAAATAAGTTATTGGCCGGCGCAAGAACACCAGAAAACCAGAAAACAAAAACAAAACAAAACAAACAAAAAAAGGATGGAAAAATTGACATGATAAGGGCAAACTGACCAACCAAATGACCAACTGACTATTATTGTTTTTTTTAGCTATTCCATGTATGAAACTACATACTGATATGGTATAATGTTTCATTCATCTTTAAAATTATGTTCTGTTGTGTGATTCTGATGATACCGTTTTTTTCTCATTCTGAACATAAAGCAATAATTAATTAATGTCTCATTAGCCTTGGATATCATCATTTGTATTTGTTTACTTTGTATTGTTTTATTTGTTTCGTTGACTTTTTTTCCTGTCTATTTTGTGAAAAAAAAATTCGGACATTACATGACATTCATGGAACCAGAATTCTTTCCTTCTGGTTCGATGTCATCATCATCATCATGATAATATAGTGGCAATGTAAAAAAATAAAAATAAATTCAACTCTTCAAGAAAAACAAACAATTTGATGTCGATTTGATATGCCTCCTATTTCTATAGTTGTGTACATTTTTTTTTCTTGAACATGAAAACAAAAAGTTTCAACAATGGAAATTTTTTTTTTTTTTTGACTAAATTGATGTTGTCCAAAAGAATGTATTACATGCCTATGTTTGAAACTATGTCATTTTTTTTCACTGATGATGATGACCTAAGCAATAAATTGGTAAACAAGCGTTTTCGATAAAAACAAAAATACAACATCAAAGTCCAAATGAATCATGTATGAATTTAAAAGTTTGTTCAAAATAAATTAAAAAAAATCTTCATATTTTTTTCCATCAAATATTTCAACTCATATTCATTGATTGTATGAAAATTTTTTTCATTCATTTGATGATGATGAGCGAAAAAATATCTATAATTTAGCTCATTGGTAAACAACGAGAAAATAATTTTTTCAACCAAACAATATTGGCCAAATTAACGGCAGCACAGAAAAAAAATGAACCGTTTATTTTCTATAGTTGATTATACCTTCTCACACACACAGCTTCCAAATGAGATTGCTCACTGGAATTCAGTAGTCGAATTCATCAACATCATTAAAATTATCTTCCATTGTTGTTGCATGAATTGTCTTTAATAAATATGGAAATCAAATATTTGTTTCGATTGAAATGTTTCTTTTTTTTTCTGCATCATAACTATTATAATTGTATGTGTTAATTCTAATTAAAACAAACAGAACGAGGATTTATGTATTAATTAAAACATTGAAAGAATCGATTTATATATATAATTCTTTGAATGCGTTAAGGTGTAAACATGTACTGCTAACAAAGTAAATTAAATATACATTTTGTTGTTGTTTCTGTTTCATTAAAAATTAAACTAGTAATCTTTTCGTTTTTTCTGTTATTCAAAAAAAAGCCTGAAAAAAAGTTAATTAAACATTAATTCTTTTTTCTTCACTTTCACTACCTTACAAATGAATACAAAGAATTACACAGAATTCGGAATCATCATCATCAACAATTTATATGAAACGAAAATCATTTGGTTCGATCATCATTTTTCCTCATTTATTTTTATTTTTATTTTTGGTCTAAATCAGTGGTTTTCAACGCAATCGTTGTGTTGCTTATCTCTATTGCAACGAATAATAATAATAATAATTTGAACATTTACTTTTTATTCATGATTTGTTAATGTTTTTATCTGAAATGTGTGGCATAAAACATCGAAATGAATTTGATGCAAAAGAAAAGTTGAGAATCTGTGGTCAAAATCAACAAATAAAATGTTACTGATTCCATGATAGTCATAAATGCAAGTGTGATAACAAATTTCATGGCTAGTGTTTACGAAAATTTGAATTTTTTCCTATTTATACAACCGTTCTCTTGGGTTATAGTTTTTTATTCACAACCAAATAACAAACCAACTAACGAAAAAAAAACGCCAAGTACCAGAAACCAAACCAAACGATCTCTCTATTTTCATCTCTGGCCTTATTGTACATATACAAATAGGCACAGACACCACAATGGTAAATGGTTACAAACAGAGAACAAAAAAAACCAGCAACCAGAAACGAAAAAAAAAACGATCTAGAAACCCAGAAAAACCAGATACATTCATTGGTGAAAATAGAGACAGAAACAACACAAACACATATAGGCAAATAGAGAATTCATTTTAATTAGTATCATTTGTCATTTTAATTGCATTTGGATTTTTTTTTTCATTTCGTTTTGTTCTATCTTGCTCTGTCGGTGTTGTGGATTTTTTTCATTTTCATTCTGACATTCTGAAATTTTATCCACATTGCCATTTTACTATAACTAGATTCAAATATTGTCCGTGAAAATTTCCAGATATCCTGTCTAAATTTCAAAAGGGTTAATCCAGACAATAAATATTATAACCACTTTAATGTAGTAGTGTTGTATAATTGTAAATGAATGCAAGAATTCAATATTGTATTATTTCCATATCATCAATATAAATAATTGGAAAAATGTAATAGCAGCCGTAGTAGTAGTAGTAGTAGTCGAATCTCATTTTCTCTTAATTAGATCAACGAAAGAAAAAAAATGTGTTATGATGATTAGTGGCATAATCGTCACACAATACTTGTGGTCATCATCATCATCATCATCATGCATGTGATATATTATTATAACACACATATATATTGGAAATTTATACGGACAATTTATAATGATTTTCAATGTAAAATTGTTCGTTTAAATTTGATTGAAAAGATATATATATGATATAATAATTGAAAATTGTTACCATATTATATAAATGGCTAATAGTTCAAGAGAAACTTTTCATGATGATGATTATAATGGTAATTGTGATGATGATGATGATGAAATAATGTATCAAAAAAAAAAAATTACCACGGACACCGATGAACATTTCACACACACACACACACACACACACACACACACACACAAAGACAAACACAAATGGATCTTTTATGTTTTGAAAATGTTGGTAATTTTTCCTTTCCCAGACATACATATATTGCCTTTGTAATATAATATTACTCTCTACCCTATTCACTATCCAATGTGTGTCTCCATTTGCTGTGTTGGTGTGTATTTTTGGAATGACGCCAAATTGTATGATTTTTATTTTTCGTTTGCCTCTCATTTTTTTTCCAATGATGATGGTCGTGATGACAACTTATTGCATATTATCGTATCGAATTCTAATGATAATATACAGAATCAGAATTCCGATGAAAGAGAGAGAGAAAAATTTTTTGTTGTACTTGATATCAGCCACATTACCACTTGAACAAAACTTTTTTCCACTTCTCTTTAACCAACAACAACAACAACTAATAATAATTAATTAACCTTTAATTGAAAAATTTTTTTTTAGCGACCATTTTCTTCGACGTTCATTTTAACTAACTACTATTATTATCATTATGTAAATGTTGATGTTATGGTGGAAAAAAACGACAAAAAGAAAATTTTTACCTTTTATATTTATCATTCGATGTGAAAAAACCATATGTGGACCAATTTTAATTAAACGCAAATGGCTTTTGTTTACGAATATAGAAAAAAAATGAGTGTCGATTTTGTATTGAAAAATTTTTTTCCTTTGTCGATATATATCTATGACACAGCTGTATACATTATTCCTAATAGCGCAATGAATGATTGGAATTTTTTTTTTTTTTGGTCGAAATCATAAAAACTTTTTTTTTCTTAGCTCAACAACCGAAAATACAAAAATAGAAATCATTTTACCTGAACTTTTCAAAATGAATTGAAATCGAATCATTTAGCCATTTTGAAAACTCATGTACAGTTTTGTCAAATGAAACACGAAATTTCTCTTTTTGCCTGATTTTGTGGTTACTGATTTCTGATGTTTTTTCCGGTTAAATAAATTATCGTTTTATAAACGAAGCTTAAAAGTTTTTTCAAAAAAAAAAAAAAAATAAAAATCATTTTCAAATCGATTATGGATCAAATGTTTGACTAACAACACTAAACACTATGAAAGTAATCGTGTAGAAAATGTCATTTTCCCAATTTTTTTTTCTTGGTGCCCAACAAAATTCATTTATTTGTCTAACCGTTTTTTTTTTTCGTTCATTTTGAAACTTTCCAATTGCTCAATCCTTTCGTACCAGATATTAAATAAAAATACTTGACTAGAGAATAAAAACTTTAATTAAAAAACTTCAAAATGTTGAGTTGAGTTTTCAAAAAGTCTCTCTCAGGCTCTCAATCATTTAGGCTATATAACCGGAAATTCTTAGCAATAATTAATAAAGAAAAATAATTCTCTGCTCTTTTTTCACCACATTCTAAAAAAGTTTTCAATTCTCTTTCACATTCTCGCTTGTGCTTTTATTCATTCATATATACGATAATTGATTTCATGTTATTTTTCATTTTATTCTATTTACAGTTTTCACTAACGGATTGAATCGAAGCTCATCATCACAGTCTCAGTCATTATTGGCAAATTCTTTCCTCAAACCTATTGGACAACATTCAGCAACGAATAACGGAAAATTATTCCATAATAATCAACATCTCCATAATAATATAGCCTCTGGTCGGGAAATGATGTTAGAAGCAAATCAAGAAGATTCCGTGACATCATCATCATCATCATCATCATCTACAATAACAGCTCAAACATCAGAATCGTCGAATACAATCGACCACATACAATTATATGACGAATTTGTATCTCGAGGCAATGTAGCAGTGTTGAAGTGCCTTGTTGTTGTCAATACAGCCAATGGTGTTAGTCATTTGATGTCAGGTAATAGTAATGGTGGTGGCAGTAACTCTGTTGTTACATCATCATCATCATCCGGAACATCTTCATCATCATCCTCGACATCCGGTTCAACATCATCATCATCATCATCATCATTTCATCACCATTATAATCATCCGAATTTATATCGAAATTATCACTTATCATTGAATGTCATATTTGAATGGCGTATTAAAAATGGTCCTGCCGCAAGTCCATTACCACCAATCGATCCAATCATGTTGATTCGTTCGAATCAAACACAAGGCAAGTGTTATCAGTTTTTTTTCTGTTATTTCATTTCATCTTCTTATACGTTTTGATTCAATTGATAAAGTTTCCTTTGGTTATATAACATTTACAGATATACACGTTCTTTTAAGTCAATTATACGCATCATTTAATCTAATTAGTGCCATAGGCTAGGCAATGGTAGACATCAGTTGGATGCCATTTTCTCAATGAAATGTGTGTTTGCATGTTTGAACTAACGAAAAAAAAAGTTTCATCTATAAAAGAATTTATTATTACAAAAGTGGAACAAAAATCGTTTCATTTCTGCGATTCGGTTTTTTCTTGTTGCTCTTTAGATTCGAAAAGAAAATCGAAAAATAGTTAATCTCTGTTCATCTCGACAATTCTTTGTTGACTTTGTGAAAAGAAAAATCCATAAAAAAAATCTAGATTCCAGATTTTTTTTTCTAAAGTTACTTATTCTATTTAGTTACCGACATCAACCTACAGCTTTATTCGGGGAGGGGCGGGGCAGAGTTTTTTTTCTTTATTTTCAAACAGAAAAAAACACAATTTGCCAGAAAAGCCGAAACAAAGATTTTTTTTTTTTTTTTGATTTATGGCTTTTTAATTTATTATTAATAGCTTAGTCGAATATCCGAAACAAAGTAAAAGAAACAAAAAAAAAAAATCATTCACGCCAAACTATCATGCGTTCATTTATTCACTCATTTTTTTCAATTTATTAAATTATATATGCACAGCTTTAGCTATTTTTACAAAATTTATTTGAACTATTCAAAAAAAAAAAAAAATTCAAGTTTTACTATGCCATGTTTTTAAATGATAATCATAATTGGTGGTAATTACGTTCACCATTCTCATCATCATCATCATCATCATCATTGTCGATGTGAATAGTACAAGGTCTTGTTGACCGCACAAGCGAAAACAGAACAAAAACAAAAACAACAGCCCGGAAAAAACAACATTATCTGTTGGCTAGGAAAGAAAATTATCAATTAATTCTTGAAATTCTTTCGATCTATACATAGCATATACATCAACATAAATATAGAAAATCTAGCTAGAATTTATCTGCAAAAAAATCATCATGATGATGATGATGATGATGATGATGATGATCGACATGACCGCAAGCAAATATGGGAGAAAAACCGAAACGCATACAACAAAAAGAAAAATTACCTACGCCTATTGAATATCAATTGCCTGACAAACACTGAATATCTTTTGGAAACGAACCAAAAAAAAAAAAAAAGCAAATCCGTTTCAGACATTCATTCAAACAAAAACAAAAACAAAACAAAAGAAGCTGTACGATAAGAACATGACGGACAGGATTTCTCATCATTTCTGAAGCTTGAATAAAAATATAGATAGATAGATAGATAGATAGAGATGAAAAAAAACGAACAATACATCTAACGAATATTGAACAAGTGAACTAAGTTAAATCAAATGAATGAATGAATGAAAAAAAAAAATAAGAATCTCTAACATTATATCTAAATTGACGTGACAGAAATAAATTCACGGAAAAAAAACCAACATCGACATCATTCAATGTGTATTGGCCACAAGTACGGAGATTTTAGCTTATCGATATATTAAAGCTGCTAGATGATTTTGACACCCATATTTATATATAAAAAATAGTGGATAGATCAATTCTTCTGAATCGATGGATTGATTGATTGATTGATTGATTGGTTCATTATCATCATCATGATTTTCATTGGCCAATAGTTGAAAGTTAAAATGAAAATTTTTTTTAACGGAAAAAAATTAACCATTTGTTTATGACGGCGATTTGCATTCAATCGATCATCTTCCGGTCGAAATATAGCTGCGATTTGCCATTCTATCCCAAAATGGGGACCAGAATTTTTCTTTCATTCTTTTGTGTAGAAAATATTCGTATTTCGTTTATTGAATACCAATGAGATTTTTTTTTTTTTTTTTGAAATGGAATGTGAAATGCCGTCAATTTTTTTTTTTGACAGATTTTAAACCAGCTTTTTGGTGTACGTTCCAATTTTTATTTTTGAACTAAACTTTTTTTCACACAACATTAAAAGTTTCTTTTAGTTTATTCTTACTTGATGACGAAAGTAAGAATTGCCTTGAAGAAAAAATAAAGTTTTCTCTATTTGCACGTTTTTGAATTTGGAAAAAAAATTCTCATTTAATTCGTCATTCGTGATAAAAAAAATGAGTGAGTGAAAGAAGGATAAACATTCATCTTATTACATTTTGACTTTATTTTTTTTGTTGTTGTTGTTGTTGTTGAAAAATTTCCGGTTATCATTTTCATTTTGTTCATTTATTTTTCTGGAAATTTTCTCTTGAAGCTCATCATCATTATTATTATTATTATCTTTTTCTTATTTTTTCCGGACCCTGTTTTGTTTTTTCTTCTTTTTTTTCTTGGTGATATCAATTGAATCAACATCATGTGAGCATCATGAAAATAGATGATGATGTTTTTTCTTTTTTTTTGGGGGTATGATATGTGATGCCATGATTATATTGGATGCTGAGCATCTTTTCTTTTTTTTTCTTCATCCATTCAAATAAAGAGGCCATGAAAAAGAAATATAACTGTTTTCTATTCATGGTGGTGATGATGATGATGATGATGATGATGATAAGATGACAAAGATAGCGAATAGATGAAAGGACAAATATTTGTTTTAGGCTACGAGAATGCTGTGTGACTTTAGTATTTTACAAATATTTTGTTTTGGTATATATATGTGTGTGTGCATGTGGACCGAAAAACAAAACTTTGAAACTTACTTGAAGGCAAAGAAAGAAAGAAAGAATGAAAATTCGGAATAATAATAAACTTTACCCGCGTACGATGTGTGTGTGTGTGTGTGTTTGTATATGTCGCTAGGTCTATGTTGATGACAAATTGGCCACAGAAAAGTAAATTAAGAATTGAATTTTTCATCATATAGTCATTCTATGTACTGGAATTCAATTTTCTTTGATGATTCTTTTTCACACATAGTGTTTTTTCGATTCTGTGTGTTTGTTGTTATTACAACAAACGTAAACTTTGAGTTATCATCATCATCATCATCAATGTGTGATAGTCATATTAGTATACGATCCGGAAGAAAGACGTTTTTATTGAATTTTTTTTTATTTCTCCATCATTTTGTTTTTGTTTTTTTTCCTTTTTTTTCATTTCAATTCAAATTTTTTCCATCTTTGAATCGTTTAAGTTTTGATCCATTTTTCCATCATTTCATTTTTGTTTTGTTTGCTGATACATATGAATGATTTATACATATACATATTGAAACAAAATTTACATTTTTAATTTAAAACACATTCGTTTTGTTTTTGTCAGTCATATTTTTTCAAACAAAACAAAACATTCTGTGATTCAATCATCTGTATATGTGTATTTGTGTGTGTGTGAAACATATTCATATCACAAAATCAATCAGCAACAACACAGATAGAAGAATTTATCATCTTTTTTTGGCCTACAAACACACAAGATTTATTTACAATTTTAAATTTCGAGCCAATATAATTCTTTTGGCTTTTGGCTTTTTTTTTTGTTATTAGAATATACATTGTTTTGAATATACAAGATTTTTACATTATTTTACATTTTTTTCTGTTTCGGGAAGACAAGATTCATTTTCGCTAAAATTTAGGTGTTGAAAAAATTATACTACTCATTCATGGAAAAACTGAAATTCAAAAAAAATGAATGAATCATTCATGGATTTTGTAGTGAAATGATCGTAGTTTTTCCGTTGTATGCCTTCATACATTTTTCGGATTTATTTTCAGCTAAACAAAACAACAACAAAAAAATCTAATTAAATGATCTTATTGAATGAAGTGATTTACAGCATCGAAAAAAAATCACAAAATCTTAAACTATACGAATAAAATGATTCTAATTAATTTTTTTTTCACTACTACAAAAAAAACTACAACATGAATATAAACTAAACCATGGCTGTGTTTATCTGTTTTTTTTTTTTTGTTAATTGTAAACGAGAAATAATAGAGAGAGATAGAGGGGGAAAAAGTGAAATTTTTTTTCTTGTTTTGTTGCCCGAAGTTTGTTTTTCTCTCTTCTTTGTTCCAAAAAAATTTTGTAGCTGTTGTAATTTTTTTTTCAATTAATTTCCATGTACAAACGACAACATTTTCAAATAAATGAACAAAATAAACAGCAATTTTCTTTCGTATATATGGAACATAAAAAAAACCTGTCCTTCCTGAAATTTTGGTCGTTCAGTTTAGTTCTTGTTGGTCGTTCATTTCGGCAATGACAAAAAAAAAATTCAATTAAATTGAGTTGAATCGATTTTTGTTGTTGTTATTGTTGTTGTCGTTCACAGCGTTCATGCAGAATTTACTTTTTTTTGTCTGTCTTGAAATTTTTTATTTTTTTTTTCGTTTTCAGAACAAATTTGAAAAGACCTGAATATAGCTAGATTCTTTTGTTGTCGACTTATACAAACAAAATTTAATTAATTCTTTTCAAACTTTTACAGTCATATCGTTTTGATTTGGGTGTCTGTGAGAATGTTTAATGAGAATCTGTTATTTTCATCTTTGTATGATGATGATGATGATGATGATGATCACATTCACTGTTCACTGTGAAATAGTGAGGAAAAAAAAAAAAAATTTGTCCAAGAAATTTTGGCTGTCAACAAAATTTGTCCACGTCATTTGATTTATATATTTTGTTTGTTTTCATTGTTTGCTTCAGAATTTGAAAATGAAAATTTTGCTGAGAATGCACAAGAAATGTGACAGAAGGAAAATAAAAATAAAAAGCGATAACGGACACAATTCATTTTCTTAAAAGAATTCAAATTTAAATTTTTTTTTTCGTCTTCTTTTTCATATTCATCTTTCCATCATATGCAATTGAATTTCATATTTGTTGCGAACGAAAAAAAAAAACAAAACAAAACAAAACAAAATTCATAGCTTAATCAATTTTTTTTATTTATGTCATATAT